CCTTTATATAATAGTTACAGTCGTAAAATCAATTATGGAATCGTCATAATTTGCAAATCCTATGCACTTGAGCAAAATAGGTAGTATTACTGCTGCACAAGCAGTTTGGAATGCTGTATTTCAACAGGAAAGAATAATATATAATTCAATTAGTAAATGACGTCACCATTGTTTTATTGTACTTTACTTGAAAAAATGCCTGCTTAGTCCTATTTCTTAAAACATTTTTCCATAGCACAATAGACGATCTGCATGAACAAGCCCATGCCTCGAAAATAAAAGCTGGTCACAGACCGGTAAAATTTCACTGTTTCACCGGCAAATATCATCACCTGGCAGACATGCATGACCGATAAAAGTACGTTCAAAATTTCCAATTTTCGAAAGAAGTGCATGTCCATCTACAGTGCAGGCTAATAAGGGCAACAAAGTGACACATCTTGTCATACACATACGATATACCGCAAGCATTGTGTCTAAGGGCTGTTTTCCAGTTATGCGTTTTTCACACATGCGACAGAAAAGTAGGAATCTTTACAAAACACAAATATACACAAAACTGAATGCTGTCCTTTTATAAATTTAGTTATTTCATAAGTAGGATATAAAAAACATGTAACTGGAATGCAGCCTTAAAGCATGCTCGCAACTCAAACTACAGTTGTCATTTGCAACTTAATATATTACTTGCTAGTAAACAATGTCAATGTTATTAGTATAATGATTGCTACTACAGGTTTGATAAATCCCATACTTCTACTTTGTATACAGATACAATTAAAATACACAATTGTTTCTAAAGTCATGAGTCACACAAAAGATGAGGGGAGAAAAGAAGCTAAGGAGTGTTGATGACGGGGTAGGTATTTCTTGAGTTAAACCCTTTGAGTTAAACCCCTGCCACACCCCTTTTTCACAGTGGGCTTAACTTGGAGTCAATTAACAATTCAAGCATTTGAGTTAAGCCCCAACATCTGGTGGATGTAAACAAGTGAAACGTGTATACTCACAAAAATATTGGTGAATATTAAAGGAGGAAGAATGTAAAATTTAAGCAATTTTAAGAAAAATATTTTACTAAGATCTCTGTTGCTTTGCCTGCAGTTTTATACAGACAATGATATTGTGAAATAAGAGAACTCAATATGGATTTGTAAAGTTGTAAACAACAGCTATAATTCAGGGTGGCCAATTACAGCTTTAAAAAATAAATAATATACAGTATAGCGGCACTTGCACAAAGCAAATCTTAGCCTTTTTTAGGCACATTCATATGGAAGTGAAAAATTATTGTATCTGTTATCCACTTATAATACGGTTTTAGAAAACTAACATTTATGGTCTAAGTCAAATTTTAAAAAATAAAGTAATTCCAATCCCAACCCTTCAGTGGCGTAGACAAGGGGGGGGGCTCAGCCCCCCCCCCCAATAGGCTGAAGGACTGCCCTTGTAAAAAGATGAAATCCGAGTAGAAATTAGGGGGGGGGGGACGATGACTACCAATCTCATCTGTTCACCAAATTGGCTGTAAAAGTTCTAGTCTTCCCTAAATCTAACTACAGAAAATAATGTCTACAGTGGTTAATATTGGTTAAAATGCGTTTTAAAACTTCGATTTAACTATTTACACGCGACCAAGTAAGCTACGTTGAGTCAAATTAAGGATCCACAATATTCCAACAAAATGAAGTATTGCAGAAAACTCATGCATTATGCAAAATGGCGGAAGCACTTCCTGCTCCAACAGATCTTTTGAATTATGTATATGATCCTTGCTGTCCATTGCCCACTGGAAAGGAAGCTAGAAGTCATGTTATAAGCAAAGGCGCTTGCCAGCCTAAAGATCATAACTTCCCTGCAAACAAACGAAATCGTCGGTTTCAAGTATCGTGGTACGAAAAGTTTGACTGGCTTGAGTACTCCAAATCACTGGATAAAGCTTTCTGCTTTTACTGCAGGGTATTTAATACACAGGTGAGGTGATTCTAGCTTTGTGAGTGATATAAATTAGACTTATTATCAAAGTGTTTATACTTTAGTCTTTAAATACTGATATTTTTTATTAATCGTAGTATAATACTATAATTTTTATTTTCATGTTAATTTAAACATCAATAGTATTAAAATTGAAACTCTGATTTCTTCCATATCCAAATAGATTACCCTACAACAGTACGACTACAGTATAAAAAAAACACTGTAGAAGGAACTTCATTAAAAGCAGTTTTAAACTGGCAAAATATTCCTTTCAGAATGGGATACACAATGGGTTTTACTGATAGTATTTTTGAATTCGTCAAACTTTTCCTTCTCTAGGTTTCGTCAAAGAGTGATCAGGCTTTTATCAAAGTTGGTTTTGGTAATTGGAAGAAATCTGAAGTTTTGACTAAGCACCAAAAATCAGACTGTCACAAGCAATCTCTTCAGGCATACCGTTATTGAAAACATCAGAAACCAGTTGATCACCAGATAAGTGAAGAAGCAGAAAGACAAGAGTCTTATCGTCAACAGACAGTGAGTAGTCATACAGTGATAATATATCCATACCAATTTTTCTCTTTTCCCAATAGCTAGTTTTCTTTATTCAACACAAACACCTAATGGTTCTTTAGGTGAAAAGAAATTGAACAATTATTGGCAGAATTATCAATGTGGTGCAACTACTGGGCAAACTGAATTTGCCCTTCAGGGGATGCCATGAGGGAGAATGCTCAATGAACAAGGGAGTTTTTAAAGAATTCATTGCACATATGGCAAAGAGTGACCCACTTATTGAAAGCCATCTAAATGATTGTGCAGGTACATACAGTATAAAAGTCTTGGTGAACATGTTCATTAATGTACAGTAAGATGTGAGTGCTGACTGAAAATCAGTGTATATATATTTTTTTCATCAGCCACATGGTGTGGTAGTAGTAACAGGTAACGACTGGAAACCAAGGCTTAAATGTTGGTTTGTAGTATTGTTCACTCAGAGAAAATTGTTCTTGTAGATAATGCAAAGTATACCAGCCCTGCAATTCAGAATCAAATGATCCAGTTAGTTGGTTCTGCTATTTTGGATGAAATTGTGCGCAGGGTCAAAGAAGCAAAGCTGTATTCAATTATAGCAGATGAAACTCCTGATAATAGTAAAACAGAACAGTTATCTCTGCTTGTCAGTTACGTTTGGAATGGGAAAGTGGAAGAACGGCTTTTGGCAGTTATACCAGTAAAAGAAACCACAACTGAAGTTCTTTTCAATACTGTTTGTAATAAAGTAGAAGAACATGGAATAGAAATATCAAATTTACGCGGACAGTGCTATGATGGTGCAAGCAATATTATGTTTCAGGACTTCACACTGGGTTGCAAGCACGAATTAAAGAACTCTCACCGTCTGCTTTTTTCACCCACTGCTACGCCCATGTGTTGAACCTCGTCATTGTGGACACAATGAATAACAACCCAATTGCTAAAGACTTCTTTGGAACATTACAAAGACTTCTTTGGAACATTTGTATGTATTCATTGAAACCTGCTCCAAACGACATGCAGTTTATTTGGAACAACAAAGAAAGGTTAACCAGGCTTCTGGTGAAGAAGAAGAAAGCGAGAGTATGTATTAAAGAAATTATCAGATACCAGATGGGCATGTCATGCTGATAGCATTAAAGCATTCCACCACACTAGCTGTAATTACAACTTTAGAGTATATCCGGGAAAATGAGAAGAAAGCAAATATCGCTGCTGAAGCAAAAGGATTACTCAAAAATGTCAAGGAGTTTGAATTTATTCTAGCATTGGAGGTATATTTTTTATATTTTATTGAACACTTGTTTATGGCTTTTTAATGATATGCTAATGCAATGAAGAACAGGAAATCTGAATTGAATTCTAAAATTCAGCTCATTTTCAACCAATGAGAATAAGATCACCTGTTAAACTCGTTCGTATTTGACCATATTTATATTTCTGTTTTTTAATGTTAACTTAAGGTCCTGGAAAAAGTCGTGCATCTCAGTAAAGGCGTTTCTGATAAATTGACAGATCTCCTAGCAGCAATCAAAGTTCTTCGGTGCGAGGCGAAATTTGAGTCGTTTTGGAAAAGTACCTTGGAAAGATGCTGTGAACTAGGGATTGCAGAACCAAAAGAAGATTGTCCGCATAAACTTCCTCGACTAATTGATGACAATCCACAGACTGCTGTATATATGTCAGCAAAAGACAAATTAAGAGTCTCATTTTATTATAACGTAAGTTACCTGGTCTTGTCAGTGCGTATTCCCCTTTTATCTATTGTATTCAGCGCTTTTGATCATTATATGTAAAAAGCGCTTTATAAATTATTAAATTATTATTATTATCTCCTTCCATGCAACAAATTTCATCGCGCATTTAATTTGGTAAAATATTTCTTTCATTCTCAATAGGTTCTTGATCTTATGACTGCTTCAATTGAGAGCCGTTTCGACGCAAATAATGCACAAGTCTTGCAAGGTCTAGGGTTTTTGCATCCTTGTCGATTGGAAGATCCAGGAGCATGGAGAAAAATCTCTGTGGCAGTTAAGTGGTTCCAGAAAGACCTGGATATAGATGCTCTTCAAACCGAAATATTTTCCCTGCAAGTCTCATCACTGCTCACTGGCGTGCTGAAAAAAGCCGAGTCTGAGAAACGAAGAGCCACCTTTGTTGACCTATTCACAGTATTGAATGAGGAACCAGAGTGTTATGGTACTACCATAAAATTGATGGAAATTGCTCTAACGCTGCCCCTCACATCTTGTAGTGCAGAAAGGGCATTTTCAAAGCTCAAGCTTATCAAATCTCGGTTGAGATCAACGATGAACCAAGAAAGGCTACAAAGTCTAATGCTTATGTCAGTAGAATCTGACATAATGGAAGAGCTAGACGTAGAAAAGCTGGTTCAGGATTTTGTGGACATATCTCAGAGAAGAATGAATTTAGTATGACAATACCACGTGTTTTAGAAGTGTTCAAGAACTTAACTCGTTCTTACAAACAATACATATGCATATAAGTAAGATCAGTTTTTGGGCGCTTGTATATATGTTATTAATAAAATTATTACTATTCGGGATGCTGAAATTACTTCAGTAATGCCGTTTTTTTGTGGTTGTTGCTTCCTTTGAAAGTCGTCCTAATTAAAGTATGTGAACTGTTCTTATTAACAAATCTTGAAATTCAAAATTTTTCCTGTTTTTTCCCTTCTCCAAACATTTTCAGGAGTAGCTATATAGTAACATGTTTGAGAAATCATTAAAAATCAGGTCTCTCCTGCAGTAAATAATCTCCAGAATTATGCAAAATCTCACCCCAGAAACACGGGAAATCGCCATTGAGGGACTCCAGATTTCAAAAAGTTCCAGGGGTTCCCCCTGGACCCCCATAGATGGTCTTGCGCCTTCGGCGTTCGCTTGGCCCCCCCAAAAATGAAGGTCTGGCTACGCCACTGCAACCCTTCTCTAAACCTAACCCGTAGAGGTCGAAGAGAGTTAAAATTAGTCAGGAAAAAACGATTACGTCCTGAAGCTGGATCGAACCCAACTAACATCCAACTGGCATCATAATGCCAAAAGTCTAAAACTAACATAATGCCAAATCCAACATAATGCCAAAAACTAACTTCATAGAAGGAAAACTAACTACGTAAATAGGAAAACTAACTACGTAAATGTGAAAACAACAAAATAATTGTAAATCTGTAGCATTTGATAAACACATCAGAACTAAAAATCTACTTCAAGGTATAGAATAATCACATCAGAATTATCAAAAGTTCATTTTGTCTTTCATGTCGCTCCAAACTTATTTGCCAATATTTTTGCGAGTATACATGCATCACTTGTTTACATCCACCAGATTTTTGGGCTTAACTCGAATGCTTAAATCTTTAATTGACTTTGAGTTAAGCCCCCAGAGAAAGAGTGTGGCAGAGGCTTAACTTGAAAATGGCTTATCTCGAAAAATACCTACCCCGTCAATGAACGGCATAAATTCTGCAGTGACCAGTAAATGTAGTGAACCACAGGTCATAATGACTGGTATAATGTCCAGATTTATGGTATGAAATTTATAAACCAAAGGCACAAGCCTTGACAAATGCCTTATAATTGTGGCATCTGTGGATGATTTTTTGTGAAAGCACATCAAACATATTCATAAGAATGTCGAAAACATTGATTTCGTTAACACTGAGGAAGATGGCGATGCCAATACATTTAATAACAATGATTTGCCCGACGAAGATGCCAGTCATCAATTCATTCGATGGCCACAAATTTATGTGCTTGATGTATGAAATTAATCGGTAAAATTTCAATTGTGTATACTTGTGAAGAGACTCTGTGGGTCTCTGCCACTACATGCATCACCGCCACCTTGAAAAATTGAAGGGTAACTAAGGGGTAAATTTTACTGCGTAAAAATTACACCGGTTTTGCGGGTAATGTTACACAGTGCATATTCAAGGGGTTAATTTTAGTTAGGACTACACCACTTAGGTAGGTCAGATTACACTCTGTAGTATAGAAATAATTTCAAAATATGATGGGCATGTCTTTTAACCCATGGTGCACCAGTGCTCTCCCCTTGACAGAGTAAAATAGTAGGGCACACTTGACTAAAATACAACTGATTGGATGTTTATCATAACGGTTGCTTAGAAATCATGCATTCTTACTTTTTGAGGCTGTTTCTCTGTCTATCCAATCCAACTCCTGCTACACAAGTTCAAAACTATGAAGGTCAGTTTGCCCTGAAATCACACCTGTTTCACATGTTCTAATTCACATATACCGAGTGTTCTAAAACTTAGATCATTGCATATATCCAAGCCAGGTGATCACCTTGCTTACCTCAGAAGCTGTCAATGAAGGTAGTGCAAGGAAGTTTGTAGCGGGTTTGTAGTAATTGCCAATTTCAACAAAATGGCTGCCATGACGGAGGAGCTATGAAACATTTACTGAGGAGCAGAAGTGTATTTTGTGTGAGTATTATGATAAAGGGAATGACATCTACTACAAAAGAAATCAGTAAGTTGATTCAGATGGCTGTAGATGTGGCAGAAATGACAATTTGACAAAGTTAAAGGATGACACCACTTAGGTAGGTCAGATGACACTCTGTAGTATAGAAATAATTTCAAAATATGATGGGCATGTCTTTTAACCCATGGTGCACCAGTGCTCTCCCCTTGACAGAGTAAAATAGTAGGGCACACTTGACTAAAATACAACTGATTGGATGTTTATCATAACGGTTGCTTAGAAATCATGCATTCTTACTTTTTGAGGCTGTTTCTCTGTCTATCCAATCCAACTCCTGCTACACAAGTTCAAAACTATGAAGGTCAGTTTGCCCTGAAATCACACCTGTTTCACATGTTCTAATTCACATATACCGAGTGTTCTAAAACTTAGATCATTGCATATATCCAAGCCAGGTGATCACCTTGCTTACCTCAGAAGCTGTCAATGAAGGTAGTGCAAGGAAGTTTGTAGCGGGTTTGTAGTAATTGCCAATTTCAACAAAATGGCTGCCATGACGGAGGAGCTATGAAACATTTACTGAGGAGCAGAAGTGTATTTTGTGTGAGTATTATGATAAAGGGAATGACATCTACTACAAAAGAAATCAGTAAGTTGATTCAGATGGCTGTAGATGTGGCAGAAATGACAATTTGACAAAGTTAAAGGATGACACCACTTAGGTAGGTCAGATGACACTCTGTAGTATAGAAATAATTTCAAAATATGATGGGCATGTCTTTTAACCCATGGTGCACCAGTGCTCTCCCCTTGACAGAGTAAAATAGTAGGGCACACTTGACTGCAATACAACTGATTGGACGTTTATCATAACGGTTGCTTAGAAATCATACACATCTCAACGAGATTCTTTCGTAGACTTAACTACACATCTCAACTAGATTCATTTGTTTTCATTCCGATAACTGAAAGAGATATTGAACTTGAAATTATCACACTACCAACCAAAAAAGCTGAGGGTTTGTACTCGTGCCCTTCGAGGATTATTAAATGTGCAAAACACATTCTGAGCAAACCTTTGGCAGATATTTTTAATCGGTCGATTGAAACTGGAATTTATCCTAATAAACTCGAAATTGCGAAAATAATTCCAATTTACGAAGCGGAGGATGAAACTGAACCGAATAATTACCGACCCATATCCCTTTTATCGGTATTTAATAACATTTTTGAAAAGATCCTGTATAAACGTTTAGACAAATACCTAAATATGAAAAATATCTTGTGTCCCTCACAATATGGTTTCCGTCAACAACATTCTACACAACATGCCATTCTCTACATTGTTAACGAAATCCAAACTAACATGGATAATAAACTTTATTCCTGTGGTATATTTATAGACTTGAAGAAAGCCTTTGATACGGTAGACCACGATATACTGTTGGGTAAATTAAATCATTACGGTATTAGGGGAGTCATAAATGACTGGTTCTCTTCCTACTTAAAACACGTACTGCTCTCAAACAACGCTGATTGACAACTGTGTATCTGATAGAGAAACCACTTTGTGCGGAGTACCTCAAGGTCAAGTCCTTGGGCCTCTCCTTTTTTTAATATACATAAACGATATTTCCGAGTCATCAAACGTTTTAAATTTTTTTCTTTTTGCGGATGATACCAACCTACTATATGCTAATAAAAACTTGAAAACACTTGAATCTGTTGTAAATTCTGAATTGAATAATGTTTGCAAATGACTTAATGCCAACAAACTTACGCTTAATATAAAAAAATCAAATTTTGTTATTTTTCACCCACACCAGATATCAGTAAATTATCATCCAGTAATTAGCATGTATGATAATAATTCTAAGCAATACACACCACTCAAATGCAAAGAATATATAAAGTATCTTGATATCATTATTGATTGCCACTTAAGTTGGAAGCATCACATTGACTATATTGCATTAAAGATTAGTAAAAATGTTGGGATTATCTCAAAATTGCGATATTTTATTCCAAATCATACCATACTAGATAGATAGATATATCTATATATAGATATAGATATAGATATATAGATAGAGATATATAGATAGAGATATATAGATAGAGATATATAGATAGAGATATATAGATAGAGATATATAGATAGAGATATATAGATAGAGATAGAGATATATCTATATATATATCTATATATATATCTATATATATATATCTATATATCTATATATATCTATATATAGATATATATATATCTATATAGATATATAGATATATAGATATATAGATAGATAGATAGATAGATAGATATATATATATATAGATATATATATATAGATATATATATATAGATATATATATAGA